TTTAATGGTAGTTCTGCTACTGTTCACTTCAGCTGGTCCTGCTATGCTTTACACAGTCACTTTGGTAGCTCTATAAATATAAAATCAGATTTTAAAATCATTTCAAAAAAAATCTTCACTTCTTTTTTCCTTCAGTTAACTCTGGGCTGAATCTTCCTATGCCAGACAATTGTTTCCGCGGTCAGATGGGAATTATGTATTGGAACTGCAGATTTCCTGATGTAGCGGACTCCGAGGGAATTGCCAAGAATTTCAGGATTCCACTGGGAAATTTCCCCTTATGCTTGGAATCTTCCAAAACTATCCATTAAATCAGAATTTACAGGGTTCTGTTGTGGTACAAGTAATAGTTACCAAGGAAAGGTTAGACTATGAAAAGGCAGGTCTAACCCCTGAGTAACTATTATACTGACACTCTAACTTACAACACACACCTCCCCTAAATTCCTTACAGTGCCCCTGACACCTTACACACCCAGACCCTGACTTAATATGAGCCACCCCCATCATCGCCAGACCCAGTATTCCCCCAAGCAACTTCAACAACACCCCTCCCACCCACAACCAAATGCTCCTTTCCTGCCATTAGGCCTGACACCCTTCTTCCCACTGGGACTTAACTCCCACCATCATTACCCATCTTGTTCACTAATGTCCTTTAAGGAAAGAAACTGCCATCTTTACCTGGTCTGGCCTACATGTAACTCCAGACCCACAGTAATGTGTTTGACTCTGAACTGCCCTCTGGGCCATTAAGGATGGGCAATAAAAGCTGCCAAGCCAGCAATGCCCTCATCCCATTAATGAATAAAATAAAAACCATGCACCCCAATACACCCCTTTCCTCAACACTGGACATGACACCATCCTGGCCAGAAGGACCCAACACAGCCCCTCCTCTCAGAACCCAACAGTCTCCCACACTGCTTGACCTAACACCTACTCTCTACCCCCAGGACATGACATCTCCATCCCCGCTACGGAGCCCAACAGCTCAGCACCTCAAAGTTCCCTCCCCCACGGTACCTGACGTACCCCAGTCTTCATCACTTTCTTTCAGAGCTGCCACCCTTATCTCACTGCTGGACAATACACTCCAAAAGCTTCCCCTTGCCAGGTCCAATGCCTCCCGCCCACCGCAATCTACCCTGAATGATCCATCATTTAGAATCAGAGAATTGCTACAATGCAGATAGAGACCATTTGGCCCATCGGGGTTGCACCAAACCTTTCGAAGAGCATCCCATCCTATTCCTGTAACCTCACATTTACCATTTCTAATCCACCTAGCCTATACAACCCTGGACACTTCAGGGCAATTTAGCCAATCACGTAGCCTGCACATTTTTGGACTATGGGAGGAAACCCATGCAGACATGGGGAGAATGTGCAAACTCCTCACAGACAGTCACCCAAGATTGGAATTTAATCCAGGTCCCTGGTGCTGTGAGGCAGCAGTGCTAATCACTGTGCCACCGTACCACCCATAACTTACCTGACACTCTTCCAACCATGTGCTCTAATGCCTGACTTACCTTTAATACTTAACTTTTCACAGAAGGTGTCACAGTGGTGTTGTGACTGGACCATTTAAGTCACAAAATATGGCAACTACTGCTGTGTAAAAAGGGAATAGATTTGACATCCTCCAACTATCCTGATTTATGAAGCAACTGTTAGATTTCAGGTCAGCCCTGCATTACTGCAAGAGTCATGATTTGAATCTCCTGCCAGGAACTCTTTCTTAGTCGTACAAACTAGGAGAAGTTTGGCAATCTGACTGCGATTGCTATCGCTCAGAAAATATAGTCCTTTGCATCTCTCTCTACAGATGCAGCTTGACTGAGTTTCTCCAGCACATTGTTTTAATTTCAGATATCAAGTATCCAGAGTATTCTGCTTCTGTTTTAATGCAAAATACCAATTCAGATGTGTGAGACATTAATTACAAGTACGAGCCAATCAATTTTTGAAACGCTTGCAAAATTATCAAATGTAAATACTGCACAGTCTGCAGTATGGTAATTTGCTGAATAGCTTTTGAATTTGTAGAGTACACATTCAGTGCAAATACAGCAAAAATTTTAGAAGTCCCACTTTTATTTAGTATCCTTTCTTTCATCATTTGACTGGGAGCCTGGCAAGCACTTGCGGTTTTGATTAGATTTCAGTTTTACCAAATTATAAGGCAAGATAAGAACCTTTATTACAAATACTTTATGACTTTTTCCTATTGGGCTTTCTCCTCAATCTATCAACTGAAAAGAAAACTATCAAATGTAATCTTTATCTTGATTTCATATTATCTGTTGAATGACGATTGGATTTTGTTGACCCTTTGAGAACTAAAAGGTGGGTTATCTTCTGAGGAATAAATGCGCTCTTTATTACATATTTTCCAAGTATGATTATTGTCTGAAAATCCATAAAGATGAATGCTATAAAACAGAGCCTGAACCTGAAGTAGGGCAAATCATTTCTGCTGTGGAGAATAGAACACACTTCTCTGCTGACACTCGCAGGAAATTTTCAAACAGCAAGCCTATCTTTTCTGTACATTCCAATTTGTGACTCCAACCAATGTTTCACCTTTAACACAACAGCAAGAATGTTTTAACAAACATTTCAAATCAGAAAATAAATTAACGAACTGCGGATCCTGAGAATTTGAAACAAAAACCAAAATTGCTGGAGAAACTCAGCAGATCTGGCAGCATCTAAGGACAGAAAGCAGAACAAATGTTTCAAGTCCAGTGACCCATTTTCAGATCTTTCAAATCACATCACTACCAAATGTAGCAAAATCTAATATGTTTTAAATGGAACTAACAAGACTGGAGGACTTGTACATCAGTCATTCAAGCAGCATTGTTATAGTGTGTCTAGATACAAGTTAAAAGTGAATATTAAATGCGAATGATTAGTTACTCATTGTAATTAGTTATATTGAAGCTCTGTCTGCTGCTCCCTGCTTCTCAGCGCTGCTCAAAACCCCACCCAACATCTTCTTATCATCAAGTCTGCCTACAGGCTTTCCCAGGCAAGTTCTTTCACTTAGCTATTTCTTTGGTTGACTATACAACTGTACCAACACAAAAACCACTTCCACCTCCATTACATCACCCAACGTCATGCTTTTTTCAACTTATCTGTGGCTCATATCCTCCACGTTCCCTCCAGACTTGACTATTCCAACAAACTTTTGGCTGACCTTCAATGATCAAACCATACGACCTTAAACTCACCCAAAAATCTATTGCCCGTACCCATGCTTGCATCAAGTTCAGTTCATCATCAGCCCTGTGTTTGCTATTTAACACTGGCTCATAATTAAGAGCAGGCACAATTTTAAAACTCTCTTCCTTCTTTTCAAAGACCCCGCCTCTCTCTACTTCTATAAAATTTTCCAGCTCTACATCAATCCTCTAATTTTAGCCCCTTGCACACGTACAAACCTAACCACTCCACCACTGATGGTTATGATTTCCCTTTCTTTCAAAGCCCTCCTTAAACCTCACCTCTTTGACAATGTTTAAGGTCACTGCTCCTTATATGTATTTCTTTGGTGAGAGACTACAGAACAAAGGGGCATAACCTTAAAATTAGAGCTGAGTCATTCAGGGATTGTCAAGGCTGTGTCAATACCTTTTTGATAGGACTAAGAGTTATGCAAAAAAAGCCGAGTAAATAGAATTGAAATGCACATAAAATGAATCAAATGGCAAAACAGACTTAAGGATTGGAGATTTGCTGAATGACCAACTCCTTTTCTTATATTATAATCCACTCAGACTGTTCACACTTCTGTGAACTGCCTTGGAATGTAAAAACCGTAAGAACTGTGGATGCTGTAAATCAGGGGACAAAAACAGAAGTTGCTGGAGGAAGGGTCACCGGACCGAAACGTTAACACTGACTTTTTCTTCACAGATGCTGCCAGACCTGCTGAGCTTTTCCAGCAATTTCTGTTTTTGTGCCTTGGAATGTAATTCTCTATTAAGAGCACTGTATGTGTTGTGGATGTTACTGCCACAGCCAGAATTTGTTGCCCAGCTTAAATTGTCCCTGAACTGTTTGGCTCTTTGACTACTTCAGAAGGTAGTAAAGTGTCCACCATATGTTGCAAGTTGATAAATGGTTAACAGGAATTTTGAGGCATAAGGTTTAGCGGGTGTAAGATGGAAAGCTGTCCAGGACAGTATTTAAATAGTTAAGTCTAGATGTAAAGTTTATAGGAAATGAAACAGATTGCAATTCAAAAATAGTAATTGGTAAATTGTTATTCTGTAGTTACAACAGAATCTGTCAACAGTCTTAGTCTGTAATATACTTCAGTCAACAGTTTGCCACAGCTGTCCTGCAGATCATTTGAACATTTTGCTGAAGTAGTCACAATGAAATATTCTTATTGAAGTTGAAAATGTAACTAGTGAATTAAACTTTTCAGTGTTTTATCATGACTACAGAATGTTTAACGACAGTCTTGCAATTTTGTATTCAAATCACAAAATGCAATTAAAGAACCAGTTATTGAGGCAAGCATACATTAGCAAGTATATTCATTTTCATAAGGTATTTCCAGAATGACAGACTAAGGTTACATTTCATGACATAAATTTCTGAATCACTGAATTTCTGAAGTCATTTTCTCCATTGAATAAGTATTTGAAGTACTACAGCAGTATAAACTGAGAACTTTATAATTAGGACATTTATTTTTATTTGTGTCTGAACCTTACACTGACCAGTTGATTTTTGCGTAATTTATTACATTCCAGTTAATATCAGTATTTGTAAGTAGTGACAATGAAAGGATAAAGATACATTTACAAAAGCCCTTTGATTACAACAAGAGTGGATTATACTAAAATTTCTGAAAAAAAATGACATCATCTCAATTTATAGATGAATTAGTCTAATTTGACGTAAAATCTTGAAAGATGACTAAAATTAAGTATGAGAATACTGACAGAAAAAAATGCTGATGTAAATATACATACCTGTAGAAGGGAATCAGAGGCTAGACGAACTCTCTGTTGGAAAAGAACACTTAATGCTCGATTCTGTTGTTCAAGATCAAACACCCTAGTGCGTAATTTCAGGCACTCTTCTCTTAAATCCTGCAGGTATAGTTATATTGAAAGAGAGGATTACAAAAATATAGCTCATTTCTGTTATTAATCTTTTATTTTTTCAGACAATTAGTACAATAGAATGAGAAAACAAATGCAATCTCAATAAAGGGTTCAATTGATGCTATAAATTTTCAGTGATTTTGATCAGTGAGCTGAAAACCGAGTCCCCTTTACCCCCAGTCTTAGGCTGGGCTATTATTATACTTTGTCACCTTCATAAAGGGATATTAAGCAAAACAGCCAGATGCTTTTGGCAGAAAAGGCTAGATTCACTGCACATGACATCTACATCGTATTTCATATTAGTATTAACCACCATTATGAATAGATTAAATTAATCAACTCCATTATTTTGACAGAGGGGCAACGCATAACACAGAAACTAACAAGAGGGAACAAAAACACCAAGGTTGAGTTTTTTTTTCAAAATTAAATAACATGATTAAGACATAAACATACAGGACTTAAAATTGATGGGTTGCTTTGCTCCCTGCAGGTTTAATTTACTAATTGGGAAGACCATCTCAAAGAGCCTAACACCTACAGCAACATGTACTGATGACAATAGCACATAATGGTTGATATCTTTTACATGTGCACACAAGTATTGTGCTGCGTTTTTTTCCTAACACAAGACACTACAGCCAATAACATTCTCTCCTAGTTTAATCTTTCATTGTGCCCAGCTGAATAAAAACCTGAGAATGATTCGTCTAATTTTCCTTCCCTTCAAAAGAATTTCCACATCATTGTGGATAGTCAGGACTATTTGTGGAAGAACTGAGAACATATGTGACAGCAGAGAGTCTTACTTTTTCCAATCCAACCATTGCCTGTTAAAATGCAAGCTATGACAGTGGAACACTATTTACAACAATGAATCGCACCAATTCATAAAATTATTGTGCCTGAATTTGCTAGAGGCTCCTATTGGAGTAACGACAGAATCTGTGTCATGGCCAGTATAACTGATGTCTCATGATATCATTTGTATTGTTCTCAGCCTCAATGTTTTTGCTTCTTGAGAAACAGTAAATCATTCAGTTTGTGATTCACTTTGTAATCTTGTGCTAATTGGCTTTTTAACAATTAGAGTAGGTGAATGCAGGGAGTTAGTGAATTGATTTACCTTTTGAGTAAGCAATGCTTGTACCACTTGATTGGCAACCTTTAAAGAAATAGATAGAATCATTGTCAACAAAGTTTTGTTACAATTCACAAAACTACCTACCCATTTTTCAATGATATTACATTTTACATTAATTAGGCATAAAAGCTCATACAGTTTCATAGTCTTTGAGCAGTCAGTGCAAATTGTTGGCTTTAACCTAAACCTTTGTTATTATAGCATGCTTTGTCTCTTCCCTTTGACAAGCAACTTCAATGGGAAAGTGGGGTTGAAGTCATAAGATCATTGAATTAGTAATCCAGAGACCCACTAATGCATGACGAAATTTGAATTCCATAAATCAGCTTTTGGCAAAATGATTGTTAATTGCTATGAAAACCCACATAGTTCACTCATGCAAAAAAGGCCAAATCCGTCTAGCCTAGACTAGTGATGCACAGTCAAAGAATCAGGCCTTGCAGACAATGTTCTAGACATCCCTGGCATGATGAGTTCAACAGACAGAACAGACCCACCAGATATCACAGCACATTGGTGACAGAGTTGCTCCGGGAGACCTCAGCGTTGACTCCAGACCTCACAAAGTCTCATGATACCAAGTTAAACATAGGCAAGGAAACCTTTTTCTAATCACCTTGTCCAACTCCTCCTTGGCTGATGAATCCATACTTCCCTACTTTGAACATAAATGTAAGAATTACGAAGGGGTGGCATTAGGTACAGAATGCATTCAGGGTGGGGCACTTCAATGTCCATCACCAAGACTGGATCAAAAGCAATAAGGTGACTGAGTTTTGAAGGGTTTAGCTTCTAGATTGGGTCTGTGACAGATAAGAACACATGAATGTCAGAAATAGGAACAGGAATAGGTCATCTGGCCACTTGAGCCTGCTCTACCATTCAAAAAGATCAGTTCCATTTACTCACCGACTCATTATAACACTTAATTCCTTTACTGTTCAAAAATCTATCTTTGCCTTAAAAAGTTTCAACAAGGTAGCCTCAACTGCTTCACTGGGCAGGGAATTCCAGTTTCACAACGTTTTAAGTGAAGAAGTTCCTCCTCAACTCGGTCTGAAATCTGCTTCACCTCATTTTGAAGCTATGTCCCCTAGTTCTAGTTTCACTCTCCAGTGAAAACAACCCCCCCGGCTTCGATCTTATCCATTCCCATAATTTTATGTTTCTATAAGATCCCCCTCATTCTTCTAAATTCCAATGAGTGTTGTCCCAGTCTACTCAATTTCTCCTCATAAGCCATAAGACCATAAGATCATAAGACCATAAGACATAGGAGCAGACATTAGGCCATTCGGCCCATCAAGTCTGCTCCACCATTCAATCATCGCTGATAAGTTCCTCAACCCCATTCTCCTGCTTTCTCCCCGTAACCCTTGATCCCCTTGATAATCGAGAACCTATCTATCTCAGTCTTAAATATATTCAATGACCTGGCCTCCACAGCCTTCTGTGGCAGTGAATTCCATAGATTCACCACTCTCTGGCTGAAGAAGTTTCTCATTACCTCCGTTCTATGCCCTCGCGTCATAGACTCTCCTACTAATGGAAGCATCTTCCCAACATCCATTTTGTCCAGGCCATTCAGTATTCTGAAACCAATGCTCTCAAATCCAGAATCAACCTAGTATAATGAGGGAATACCCGACTTGACCTTGTTCTTACCAATTTTCCTGTTTTAGATGCATCTGTCCATGACATTTTGAGATAGAGCGACCTTCTAGACTTAGAAAGACAAACTTCTGCTTTCACATACACACACAACACATTCTGAATGGTCGTCTGACCTGAAATATTAACTTTGATTTCTCTCCACAGATATTAACAGACCTGCTGAACTTTTCCAGCAATTTCTGTTTTTGTTTCTGATTTCCAGCATCTGCAGTTCTTTCTGTTTACCATTTTTCTGATATTCAGTTTGGGTTCCACCAGGATGATTCAACTCCTGACTTCATTTACAGTATTGGTCCAAGCATGGACAGAAAAGCAGTTCTCCAGAGAGAGGTGCGAGTGACTGCCCTTCTCATTAAAGTCACATTTCACCGAGTACAGCATCAAGGAAACTTAGAAAAGCTGAATCAATATAAATCAGGCGAAACCTTCAACAAGTTTTGGGATATACCTCCCAGAAAAGAAAATGTTGTGGTTGTTGGGGGGTATATCAAATTAGACCCAAGATATCATTGCAGGAGTTCTTCAAGATAATGTCCCAGGCTCAGCCATCATCAACCACTTTACCAATGACTATCTCTCCATTAGAAGGTTAGAAGTGGGGATGTTTGTTGATAATTGCACAATATTCATCTTCATTTGAAATCTGCATTTTTATGCAGCAGGATCTGGACAACTTTCAGGCCTATGCGATAACTGGCAAGTACATACCCATCACACAAGTTGTAGGCAGTGACCAACTCCAACAGGAGAAAATCTAACCATCTCTAACCGATATTTAATGACATTATGATCACTTAATGCTCTACTATCAACATCCTGCAGATTATCAAGGACCAAATACTGAACTGGACCAGCCATATAAGTACTGTGGCTACTGTGTGAGCAAATCAGAGGCTTTGAATTCTGTGTCTCCTGTCCCTCCAATGCACATCCACCATCTACATGGCACAAGTCAGCAGGTAACGGAATACTCCCCACTTGCAACAGATGCAGTTCCAACACCATTCCAGAAGCTTGACACCATGTAGGGCAAAGTAACACTCTTAATTGGAAAACCATGCACCACTTTCAAGGTTCATTTCCTTCACCACTAATGTAAAGTGGCAGCAGTTTATACAATCTACAAGATGAACAGCAGCAACTCATCCAGGATCCTTTGACATCAAGATTCCAAACCTGTGAGGTGGAGATCAAATGTAGTATTTCCATGTTTGTTGATACACAAAACTAGGTGAGAATGAGAGTTGCAAGGAGGCTTCAAAGGAACTAGAACAGGCCAAGAAAATGGGTAACAACATGACAGATGGAATACATTGTGAATAAATTTGAAGTTATCCACTTTGATTTTGACATTTTTAAAAGGGCAGAATATTTATTAAATGGTGTTTGATTGGGAATAATTCTTAATTCTTATGTTCCCACTCCTGCTGACCATCTTGCTTCAAATCTTTCTTCCCCCGGCCTCTCAAGTCTTCATGCACCTTTTCAAAAAGATTAAATGTTAGCATGTTCTATATTATTCAAACATACAGGGCAACAGATCCAGAGCTGGAAAACGGTATTAGGCTGGATAGTTCTTTATTTAGCTTGCAGACACGAGTTGACTAATTGGCAGCCTTCTGTGTCATACATTTTCCTTCGTTCTAAAATGTAGAAAATATTTAATCTGCAAGGTACATTTAGATGATCTTAATATAATGCATGTGGAGTATATCAATATTTACTCAGCAGTACTTTTTCACTGCAATGCAAACATTGCATTTGGTTTCCTCAGCAAAAAACTACCAAATGGCAAAGTGAAGCAAATTGTAGTGATTGTTTCTTGACAGTGAAATGCTCCTTGATAAATATTTATGTCCTATTGTACCATTCTAGTATTAAAAAGGTAACCAATTGCTTTAAAACATTGCAATAACATACAATGGTTACCGTTAAGAGCACTTCGACTAGGACATACAGACCACAGAGTATAACGGACCAAAACAAATTACAAATGATTAATTGCTGAAAATCTACCAACTTAACCTGACTACCAATGTAAAATTGCATGTGCTCTGGAAACACACCATCAGACCCTTTGTAATTAATGATATAACATTAGAAAAAATTTGAAAATCAGTCAAAGTATGAGGTAACATTTTAAGTACGGTATCTCACACCTCTCAGGTTTTTACATTACAGTCATATATCAAGGTAACAAATGTATGTTGCAGCATAAACCCAAGTTTATTGCCATACTGTACTGAGATTACTCCAAACTTCCACTTTACCATGGATTGAATCTTTATGTTATGCAGATATTGGGTCTTTCTTGCTTCACTAAGAGTACTTCACTAAGAGACTTTAATGTGTACCCTGCTAGCAGGTGAACAGAGAGCAGTGAGGACCAGGCATTATAGGTAAGCCTTAAGCTATAACTGGTTTAATTTGGATCACCATATCTCACTAACAAAAGGTAGGAATAGTGTCACTGTTCCTAAACTAGTGAGGAGGAAAGCAAGCCAGGATTCATATTTGAGGTACTCTTGCTAGCAATGCATATGTGGTAGTTATGATGCAGCTGAAAACAAAAACAAAGTGAAAATAATTTAGTCCATTAAGATCAGCAACAATATAAGCTTCAAGGCATTAAAGGCAACATTTTTTTTTAAAGGCATCAAGTCACCTAGTGTACCCAGTGAGTTTTAAAAGTCAAAATTAATTATTATGAAATTCCCACACAATGGACAGTGCATCAAATGAGATGTAAAATCAGAGTAAATGAGAACATTTTGTTCATGGTTGAAAGCATTAATAATTGTAAAACTACGTGTGAGACAGTGGCTAGAGCACTGAAATAGAGCACTGCTTTTGTTGCCAGAAAGATCTATGTTAAAACATAGCTCAACCTGCTTGGATGAAAAATTGCTCTTTGACAACTGCAAGGGTTCTAATCAAATTTAACCAGCCTCAGCCTGTTTCTACGTGATGTGAGTTCACTAAATAAAATTACCAAAAGCAGAAGTTCTGACTAAATTACCAGTTTCGTTCAGACAAAAAAGAAAAAGGAGATGGGGAAACAGATTACATTAAAAAAAAAGTTCTTTTGAGATTGAAATTAAGTATGTTGTTTGGAGAAACAGGAGAAAATTTTCAGTTTGATTTACTTGCATTGTAGTTGACATTGATTATAGCTTTAAAATCATGTACATAGATTTATCTAATCTGAAATATTTCTGCAAATGCAAATTATTGAAAGGAAATGGTTTGCAGAAGCAAAGAAAATCTCAAAATACTCTGCAACTTTCTCATCTTACCTCATCAAGACATCGTTCATACTGTTCTCTCTGATGCTCATTTTCTAAGGCTAAGGCTGAGTTCTCTGCCTGCAATTAAACCAAAAAAAAATCCACATCAATACAAGTTCAGGATGTCATCTATCATAAGAATCAGTGAGAAGCCGCAGGCGCGGGTACAAAGTCAATGTTTTATCCATGGGCACCTTTATTTGAAATTCAGGTACATGTGTCTATTTAATTAAGATTTACCATTTTGCAAAACATTCCAATTCTTCTCTTTCACTAAAATGTGGAACCCTAAAAATTAATTGATCAGAAACCAAATAGTGCAACTTCTAGATTTTCATCCAGCAGTTGCAACTGGTACTTTCAAATTCATTCAAGAATAATGACTTGCATGAGGTGGGCCTGACCAGTCACTGATCTCTATCCACGACATTGTTGAATGCCGCCCACCTCTTGTCATGACTCCATTGGAGCTTTTTGTTTTGCTTTGGTTTTTCTGCTGGCCTGCTGTGGCTGTTTTGATTTGTTCAGCAGGCCATTATGATAGTTTCTTTCTTTCCCCTTACAACGTTGTCACTGTGCCTAGTTTATTTGAACTGCACGTTATTTTCGAAAATTAGCACTAACTGAGGAAGTAAAGTCCCCACTTGATGATCTAAAAATCACTACCACTATTTGTAATCTTGCCATTTTAACAACAAACAAATGAAAGGTTAAAGTATGCGCACAAACCAGGTGAATATGAACATATAGGATCATTTGCTGAAACAACAGTACCTATTACTCATTTTTAATTTACAAATCAAAAATGTAATTAATCATATCTGAATGCCCTATCAGTAAGATATTGCTCATGGCAGAAGTATTGAAATATATTATTCTATCACAATACCATTAAACTGTTATTTATAACATACCATTTAAATCATAAAGGAATGCTTTTAATTCCCTTTGCAAAGGTTAGGCAGTAACAATTTTTAATCAAATTTGACATGTTAAATACTTTATTACAGAACTGTACAAGAAAAATGTTAATAACAGGAAACTGTATTTTGCAAAGAAAGACTGATACATCCAAAAATGTCAAACATTTAACATTAACATATGAGGTAATTGTAAACTGTGAATCATTGTAAAACAAATACATTGGACAATTTTGTCAAATACAAAAATAAAAGATTAATTTGGAATTTGTTTCTTGCTCAGTGTATAATATGCTTGCTTTAAACACAGTTAACTTCAGATAAAAACTAATTGAGTCAAATACTAAATGCACATTAACAAACAATGGATTACATTTTCAGAAATCCTCCAGAATACTCATAAAGGGTGATGTGCAAACATATTTCTGATTCCAAATTGAGACAACATGGGACTTGTGACTTTTCAGAATGTGAATCTCATTCGAGGTAAATTATTCAAACATTTGCATTCTTCTGTCAAAATATCAAAAAAAAGTTGAATTCTAACTCTTCTAATGTTTACATGATTACAATTTGAAATGAAAATGTATCATGAATACTTTATAATCCTGAACAGAAGAAAATGAGAAATGTATAAACTATGTTAATATCATGAGCAAATCGATGGTTAGTGAAGAACAGCTTGACAAGTCTTTCAAATTCTTTTAAATAAAACACACATAATGTCGTGTGTGAGATACACAGCAAAATCTCATCACATTATCCACTTCTACTAGACAAAGGAAGCCATTCTGAAGAAGGGTTACTGGATCCGAAATGTTAACTCCTGATTTCTCTCGACAGATGCTGCAAAACCTGAAGTTTTTCCAGCAATTTCTGTTTTTGACTCAAAATATTGCTTTGCTTGTTTCTAATCAAAACATTATCTTATCAAGCAATCCAAATAGGAGATCTGAAAATCATATTCAACAGTTATGAAATTAGATTGAACGTGGAATCTGCTGGCCTTATGAGCCCAGATGCCACTTATCACAATTAATCTGACACAGGAGTGGGACTGCTGTACATTGGTTCATCTTAGGCATGAATTCACTACATTTAAAAAAAACACTAAACAATGCATGTGAGTAAAAAAGGTCAATCTTTTACATATTTGAACATGGAGCAGGACTGCTCATGAATGTAGCAAGCAAAAACCTGAGGTTTGCAGCTTGGATTTCAAAATTAAGCCCACTACTCTTGAAACCATACCAGTTTAGCCTAAAAAAAAAATCAACTTTTATTGGTTCAGATGGATTAAATTGTGCGAAAACATTAACAGAGTTAAGCTTCTGTCAATTCAGGATTCTGTCGAGTAGTATGAATAATGTGTATATTGTGAACTTTCATTATCAGTTGAACTGAGACCTTAAATGTGTGTTAAACATCTATGTCATCAAAGCTACACTTAGTGTGGTTGACTTGAAATGCAAGAATCCAGAGGATTTATTTTAGTCACTCGAGGGCATTTCCATTAAACTGATTTCCACTTTGAGTCACAATATTGTTAATGAACTTGAAACTTGCTGCTATGTTCTTGAACATATTTTATACACATAACATACAATTATACTTTTAAAAACATCATCTCCTAAACAAAATTGTCAAAGAAAAAGCAAAGACCAGCTGCACGCAAGTAGAAACTGCTTCTGGGGAGATTTAAAGACTGTGTGTGGTTCAGTGAACATGAAAAACATGTAAGACTGATGTAAATTGTACCCTATTGTCTCTCAGCTTCATATTGTTGATTCTATATTTATGATTTGAGTGGTCTGGACTTCCCAGCAAGTTTAGGCATAATTGCAGCTGAGTTACATCATTTAATCCCCAATAGATTGTGCATGCAACTGTTTTATCCCAGTTTTATAACAGAAATTTCCTCAATCATTTGTACGATTTCCAAGATATACTGAAATTCTCAGCCATTCATTTACATAGATACACCTTCCTGCAAAAACCAGTCTGAGTGGCTTTCCTATAGTTGTGCAAATAACAAATTGCGATGGAGTTTCCCCTAAATGTTTGGTGCAGCCATAGCATGAAGTCACCTGAATTTTGCATAACAAAGATTTCCAGTGTTTTTGATAAGCTTGTCAAGACCCTTCTCATACTTAATAAAAGCAGTTTCAATATGAGCACACCAGAAGTGTATGAGAATTCCTCACCCAAAAAGTGTTCAAATATATACATATGCAGTGGAATGACCTTCCTAATGGGCATGACTACTAAAGTTTATATTAATTAGGTTTAATTATATACAGATGGTGGGCATGTAATGAACTCCCAGACAGATACAAACTAGAGTTCTTGTAGTGCAGTGGTAATACCTTCTGAGCCAGCAGTACTGAGCTCAAGTCCCAATTAGTACAGAGATGTGTACTAACATCTCTGAACAGGTCGATTAAAATAACAGACACAAACTGGAACTGTTGTTGTTGGAGGTAAGAAGCGTATGCTTGTGTATCTCTGTAAATAAATGCTAACAAACATGTGTAAAGTTGGGCTCTGGTTTGATCCTTCACTAATTAGCTGTGTGCAATATAATATGGTTCCAGAGATGGTTGACTGAAGACTGAAAACCAAGCAAAACCACTGAGAATAAACTACAACCTTCATGCCCAATACACGAAACAGTAGAAAGAAAGTGCAAATTGACAGTCTATGATAACCCTCCAATATTCTCAGAATGTGAGCATATGACTAAAGGAAAAAATCAGGTAAGTATATGGACAGGCAGTATGCTCCTACCAAAAAGGAAACAAGATAGAGATATGCTTATGTCGCTTCCTCTGAGAAGTAAAATCAGAAAGAAAGTATTTTGTGATGTGGATACACATCAATTGGATAATGATAGAGGTTTGAATCTTCTACTGAAGTTCCTGGATGAACTCTGCAAACACAATGACGTATTAAACACTTACAAGTCGTGATGTGATCATAGAAAACACATTCATTTATAATTGAATTTTAACAGATTTTATAAAAGATAGACAAAATTCAATTTGGGCATTTCTAGATCAGTGATTGTGCTAAGATATCTCATATGTTTATGTTACTTCTCAAACAGTTGTCAGGTTTTCAGAGAGAAAGACTCTACCTTAAAAAATTCCAGGAAAACAGTCATTGCCTTTTGCCATCACAAAACTATTGAGACATTCCTCAGTGTCACAAAGAATAGAAGAATACATTTTGTTACCAGATTTCAAAATGGTCCAAATAGTGGATGCAGATATAAATGCAAAGACAGGCAGAATGAAGCTAAAAACACCTTTAGCACATTTGGCTACGACAGCAACAACAAAATAAGATACATGCATAAAGAAGCTGTTAAGTGTTCCTGGAGAAGACATTTCTTACAATGAAATGTTCTGTAAGAAATGGAGATTTATTTAAATTGTTTTGAAATTGTTGTTGGGCATTTTCAATTTATTTGAAAATAGAGGATAAAATATATTCTTGCTACAATGTTGAGCATTACATCTGAGATTATGAAATCTCAAAAGAAATCCCTAAAAGAAAACCCCCAGAGAAATGAGTAAGTATTGGTTGAAGATCGAACTTTCAGATTGTTTTCAGGACATATAATAAAGTTCTTCTGCACAATAACGAGGAGAAAAAAAAGAAGAGAAAACAAACAAAAGGAGTTCCTTGCATTTTGTGATTGTGTCACGTTCACTCCACATCATTAAAATAAAAGAACTCCACAGAAAATTTGTGCTGAACCTCTGTTGGCAGGGAATTAAGAGAGCAAGAAGGGGGCATTAAAAGACATTGGCAAGTCGGCTTAAAAATAAGAGGATAACTAGGGAGAAGTAGGACCACTCAAGGATGGAGGGGGGAACTTGTGTTTGGAGACAGAGGATGTGGGTGAGACCCTAAATGAGTACTTTGCGTCGGTATCATCCAGGAGAAGGATATGGAGGATTGAGAGATTTGTGTGGAGCTTTCTAATACACTAGGGCATTTTTAGATCAAGAAAGAAGTGGTGCTAGGTCTTTTGAAGAGCATTAAGGTGGATAAGTCCCCAGAGCCCGATGGTATCTTCGCCAAGTTATTCAGACAGGCAAGAGAGGAGATTGCTGGGGCCTTGACCAAGATCTTTATATCCTCGTTAGCCAC